TCTTGTCAACAAAAAATATAAATGGAAATAAGTTTTTTTAGTTCTTGCTTTAAGTGTTTATCTATCTCAGTCCAGAACAAATGTTATCATAATTATTGGTATATAATGAAAACGGTATTAATATAATTCTTTGATGATTAAAAGTTGTTTTATTAGAATGTTCTTTATCCTAATTAGTTCATTTATCCAAGAATACATGAATGTGATTTACAGCTGAGATGGGGTTCAACCTCAGCTGTATTCCTTGTTTCATTTCTTTATAGATGTAAGCACATAAGTTCTATGGAACAGAATTATGTTAGCAATGTCGTACAGTTCTTTGAATTCCTTTGGAATTTCGACAAAGATCACAGTGCCCTATCATCAAGAATTATTAATGATGATCTATCAACTAACAACTTGATTAGATTCTCCTTTAGTCTGTTGAAAGCAGAGAACTAAAATCCACCTGATTTGCCAGGGCTTTGCCAGCCAGTCATTAGCACCGTTTTTACTACCGCAGACATTTTCCTTTGTTCAGTGCCCCTGAGGTTCTCACACTCTAGGGGGCAGTGCACCACAGGAAGATCAATGAGGGAGGATTGCCAGGGGGAAGGGGAGGAAGCAGAGCTGGCAGGCCTTAGCTGCAGGCTCTCTCTCAGGCAGATCCCTTTTAAGACAGAGTACATACACCAGGCCCCCACATCCCATGGAGATGGGAGAGAGACCAATGCTTGAGTAGATTACAGAACAGCTATGAAAAGTCCATGAATGAAGATCACAAAAAGGAAGGCTTTCTTATTTCACACTGTATTCTTTAGGGTGGTAAAAGTTCTGCTTTTAGCAAAAACGTAACAGATGGTTCCAAACATCAGCATAAAAATCACTCATCCCATACCACCCACAGGTAGGGAGGAAGGATGCTGTGGTATATGAAAACAAAAGTTTTCACCTGAGCCGAGAGCATTTCGCATATCGTGGTTCTGTAACAGTTCCAAGGACCAGTGCAGAATCTGGCTTTCTTCTCTGATAGGCTACCAGTGTGTGTTTGTGTGCTCATGTTATGGTTCTAATCATAATGGTACATATAACTGAGGAAGGATATGGAAGCCACTTTAGAACCCTATTCATTTTTAAATATAAAGATGCCTTGTTTCCTTGATTCAGGCTCTTTCCTGTGAGGGCTTGGTTTCCTTATTGTTGACTGCTTTGTTCTTTGCCTTGTCCTTCCCTATAAAGCCTGCATGGAAGACGTTTAACAGTGCAACTAAAAGAGCGTGACCTGAGTGAGGCTTGTCAGCCAAAGCTGGAATGCTGAGCTATCTAGAGGAGAACCTAATAACCCAATTTGGGGATGGGGCCCGGGAATCTGCATCGGGAAGTCGGCCACCCTTCCCAGGTGATTCTGTTTAGTACAAACTTTTTGACAGATTAATTTCACTCAGATGCAAAGATTAATCCCAGCACTTTAGGAGGCCAAGGCGGGTGGATCACCTGAGGTCAGGAGTTCGAGACTAGCCTCGCCAACATGGTGAAATCCCGTCTCTACTAAAAATGCAAAAATTAGCTGGGTGCGGTGGCAGGCGCCTGTAGTCCCAGCTACTCTGGAGGCTGAGGCAGGAGAATCACTTGAACCCGGGAGGCAGAGGTTGCAGTGAGCCGGGATCACACCACTGCACTCCAGCCTGGGTGACAGAGCAAGACTCCATCTCAAAACAAACAAAAAACCATAGTTGCTTTCTGTAAGATAAGAGTTTAAGATAAAGTTTATAAAGCTTTTTTCCTTTCCTCACAGCTGCTTTGCACATATTTGGATGCACTTATATTTCCTAAGTGCCAGTGCTTCACATATGTAACTGATTCATCGGTTCTCACAACAACCCTAGGAAGTAGGTACAGGTTGAGCATCCCTAATCTGAAAAGGTGAAATCTGAAATCCTCCAAAATCCAAAACTTTTTGAGTGCCACCATGATGCTTAAAGGAAGTGCCCAGTGGAACATTTTGGGGTTTGGATTTATAATGCAAAGATTCTAAAATCCTAAAACATCTGAAATCTGAAAATACTTCTAAGTCCCAAGCATTCTGAATAAGGGATACTCAGCCTGTAATAATATATGGTTACATAGCTCAGAAAATAGGAAGCTGGCTTTGAATCCAGGCCATTTGATTTACAGAGCCAGTGATAGCAATGTACCCTATACTGGTTCTAAATACATACTCTAACTCCCCAAAAGGTTAAAAATGAAATAAAAGTTTAGAATATACACATACAATATATATATATACACATACAATTTTAAACTGAACTCTGATAAGAGAGTTTGTAAAGTAAAAGGGTGGTGGTCTCTGTGGGATTCCAGAAGTTTCCTGATGTAATTAAGGGTACACAGCCCTGTCTCTTCTGGGTGGCATAGTCATTCCCAACTTTGTTTCCCATTACCTGGAGAAAGTCTGTCCAGACCGTGGCTTCCAGAAGGACAGGTAGCAGCTCGCCAATCTCCTCCATCGTCACTGTAAGTGAAGTCAGGTTCAGCCCCCATGGACTCTGCTCATGGGGTGGGCCACCATTCCTTCCTACCACAAACCACTTTTCTGGGACTGGAGAAGGGACTGCAGCACACATGTTCATGTTAAAATGTGAACTTTAATTGTAAAAATCATTTTCTGTAAATATAGTTATATCAACCTCTCTGCATACAACTTGGTTCATATATATACAGATATGATATTCATAGATGTTATTTGTACCACAGAACAAAATCAATGCAAGAAACATTTACTCTTAGCTTCAGGATTAACCCCAGCTTTCTTTAGGCCTTAAAATTACCACCACTGGAAACAGAGAGCACGGCATACCTGGGCACACAAGTGTTCAGGGCAAAATTTATGAAGTGTCTTACTAATTTCATAATATGAGGTAAAGACCCAAAACAAAAATAGATTCAGTCTCTTGTACTGCTGTAACTCTTAGGCTGGGGTATTAATCAAAATAGGATTTTTACATTTAAGGCGACAGGGAGGCTATGCTGATTCTAACTCAGAAAGAAATGGGAAAACAGTTTTTCTAAGGCTACAACTATTTGTTTAGGCTTATTTCCCAGACCTATACAAAAATTCAGTCAACAAACTTTGGGTAAATAAAGGAAATTCATTTTGCTTTCCTCTGCTCTCTGTCCCTGAAGTCACTCATCCAGGCTGGCTGCTCAAACGCCCAGAATCTCCACCATTCTTCACTTGACAGTCTTCATGGACACGTTAGACCCAAATTTTTTTTTGTATAACACCATCTTAAAATTTTTCAATATACTGTATCTTTCTTTAGTTTACCCAAAGGAAGGAGTTTTCACTCTAATGTCAATATATTTGCAACCATCCAACTCAGTGACCTCTGTGTGGACTGTTCACTTTGTGGATCATCTCTGGCTAACTGAAAACATCCTGCCTCATCCCCACATTCTCTGACTAGCCTTAGACAGCAAAGTAAATTTATTATTAGTCTAAATAAGCATTCTACAGCAAACATAAGTAATTCACACCTGGCCTGCTATGAAAATTAAATTTTCTGAATTTAGATCATATTAGCTCTAAAAGCCCCACAGTGTGCTAAAAATCAAGAATAAATTCTAAAAAGATGAAAGCAAGGCTTTTTTCTCCATCATTTCTTTATAGAGCACTAGAAAATTCTTATTCCCCTTCAAAATTTGCAATTTCATCCAACTGCCCCTAAATTCTAGTTCCAAAAACGAATTAAAGTGCCAGTTATAACACTACCTCCCACTCCCACCTCTCTCAAGAAAGAGGCCTAAAAATAAGAATGATGACATTTACCCTTTTTTGTACTAGAGCTTTACTTAAGGTTGGTATTTTTTTTTTTTTTTTTTTTTTGAGGCGGAGAAGGTTGGTATTTTTATGTCAACCTTCCTAGGACTGTCAAGTCTACCTCCTAAAGAGCATGTCAAGATTTCATAGCACAATCTCCTTATTCACTCTCCAAATTATTTACAAAGTAAAACTTCTATGGGGTCTCAGCCACCACCAAATTATAAAACTGCCCATTTCTTCTAGAATAATAGTTTTAAAATTTCCTTCCATTTCAGTATATGCATACTCAGTTTATCACATAGTAATATCAATAAAAAAATAAACTTCCATTTCTTATAAGAAAAACATTAACTTAATTCACAGTTAGCCTTTTCCCACAACACTCAAGACTCCAGTAGCTTCTAGGAACAGAGGTATATTAGTAATAAAAATGGAATATTAAAAATCCATGACTTGGGAGTAAACGGAGCCCTTAACTCCTCCTCTCCCCCTACCTGAATCAGAAAAGGGTTTTCCTGAAATGAGAGGGGACGGGACTGGGGTCAGCAGGATTCTCACCTCGGTATAACTACAAGGTACAGGGGAGAAGACAGGAGGGATGGCCATTTGGCAGAATCCAAGCCTACTAGCTTGGGATCTATTAGGGAGATAAAAGCCTATGCCTGGCATATTGGTCCCCAATCTGATTTTCTTGCCCATGTTAGAACTGTCATCACACTAAGGCAATTTTACTGCCAAGCTGAGCATTATCCTGTTTTATTCATCCACCTGCCCACTCCTCCTCTACCTCTGCAAGGATGACCTATACAGGGACTGGAGAAAGCATCTCAATCCATTCCCCAGGCTGTGCAGTTTCAGAGGGAAATAAATGGTCCCTCGGGTCTCTGCCTCTTCTCGGAGGGTTGATGTCCTACAACTGAAAGCCTAATTCATTACTGCCCTTTACAAAAGCTTCCCCGAAGGCCTCAGTTTAAAAGTGAGTGATTTCATCTTTTATTGTGTTTGAAGGGCTTTCAATGTATCAAGACTGAGAGCAAATTCATCCTTATAGCCACCAGAATGAAAAACAATGATTTAGCTAAGATTTAATTTATCTTCTAGCTAAAGTCTCATCGGTAGTTACATGATCAACAAATGTTCACATATGGCATCTGGAAGCACGTGCACCTGTGTGCTAGCTTAACTTTCTTGTCTTGACTTTAAAGTGGAACAAAACAAGGTAAGTTCTAGATGCAAGTTCCTAAGCTAAATTACTTCTATTGATACATCAATGATTTCAGCTTCCCTCCCCCTAACCAGATGGAGACACAGATGCTATAATGGATGATGGATATGGAAGACAAAAGCCTTCTAATTCATTGCAATCATAATTTACTGAGGACTGTAGAGGTCCCAGGTGGGACACTGACACTGGAATTGTCTCTACCAGGCATAGGGAATGTTTCATGTTTAAAGCCCAAGCAAATTCTAAACACATAATTTGGGCCATACTTTTATTCTGGTAGGGGATAAGCCCTACCATTTGGAACTCCTTGTGGAGAGTCCTAAGCCAGGAGGCAACTGGACATTTTCCCAAAGGCTGAGTAGTATCATCTGCTGAGCCCACAGAATTGAAAACACCCCCTTGAACAGGCCTTTGTCATATTTTACATGGACACCAACAAGCCCCAAACCGGAATTCTCCTCCCACCTGGAATTTCTTCTGACTTAGGAACAACAGGGCAGCCCAGCCAGCGTCTCAGCTCAGCAATTATTTCTCAACTGGCACATGTTTCGTTTCACAGTGTGGCATGAGGTCAGGCTGAAAGCTTCACAGGAGAACTAGGCCTGCTCAGGCAGGCCAGGGCTGAGGCCCAGCAGGAGATAGTGGCAGAAGGTATCACACCACAAGTTTCCAACCCTCCTCCAGGAGGCCAATGGTAATCATAATGCCCGCCCCTAAAGAGCTTACAGACCTAGAAGTCTGTGAACGATGTTCAGCACTTTCTTCTGAACAAAAGCAGATGGTTTCTCAGAAAATATTTCACTGCCTCACTGGCACATTCTCCTTTGTGGCCACCCATACCCTGGCCCTCTGCATGAGCGGGAGGGTAGACTGAGACAGAAAGCTACCGAGACAAGCACAAAGTTAAGGGAACCCAGAAGCCCTGACTCACCATTCACAGGAAAATGCAGGAACTTCATTCTCACCCTGCTATGTTTACACCAGCACTTCTGAGCTTGCAGTTAAACCCGCAGAGTGTTTGCATATAGAAGGCTCGGAGCAGAAGTGCCTAAAACAGCTCCTCCTGGCAGATTCCCTAATTCCAGAAAAAGGTCTTCCTGTGTCCTCTAGGAGAATCAGACCTTTCCTTTCACTCCTGCTCCTGCCTCTAACCACCTACCCCCAGCTTAAAACACCCTGAACCTCAGGATACCATGAAAAGTAACCATTAGCCTTAAGTTAGAAAGGACCCCTCAACCCTTGAGAGGCAAGAGGAGAGGTTGTGTGTAAAGGAGAAAAAAAGATGAGTCTTCAACCTTGAAACACAGATGTTTTTTTCTTTTGTAAACATCTACATTACTGAAATGACAGCGACCAACACTGCAGAGGAGAAGTGTATTAGCTGTACAGTTTACATTTCAATGCCCAAACTTATTTATATATTTACATAAAGATGCTACCTTGATTAATCAATGTCTATTTGCATGTCCACGTGTGAATTTCTTCAGTTTTGATATTCCATGTGAAGGAGCTACAGTGAAAATACTTTTGAATAAAGCAGTGAACCCTAAGCACCTTATCTTGAGATGAGATGTGTGACCCACCATTTGAATGTTATTTCTCTCTGCTGTGTACGTTAGTCTGGCTGGGTCTTGGTCACAGACATAGATGTACTGATGGCTATTCCCATAATCGAGCCAGGCGGGAAGGGAGAAGAGGAAGACATTATTTGTCACCAGCAACCCAGTATCCCAAGTCAAAATTCTCAATCATGGCTAAGAAGGCCTAAACTCAACCCACAGGAACTGGCTTTCTAACTGGTTGACAAACACGTAAGCTGCCCTCCTGCAAAAGCCAATCAGAGGACAGGCAGGTGAAAATGGGACCCAGCCTAGAGCAGAGCACTTCAGAAGAGAATGGATAAATCCATCAGTGATGCTCGGGGCTTCCTGACCACTGTCCTGGGTGAAGGCACTGCCACATTTTCTCTCAACAAATCTGTTATGTCCCTGGATCCAAAGATTTAGCCTAAGGAATGTCACCTCTGCTAAAGAAAAGTGTGTTTGTGAGGGGTCCAAAATGATGAACGGTCTTGTTAGCATCATGCTCCACCCTCTGAGTTAACCGGCTCAGATCCTTGCTAGATTTCGGAATCCAGAAAATCTGTGTTGATCCAGAGTTGCTACTGCTAATGCCTCCAGAGAACTCACGTCCAGATGAAGAGACTTAGAGTGACTTCTCCATCCTGTTCGAACTTCAACTGCTCTATCCTCCAGCAGCCCAAACTTCAGCCTTTAAAAATACCCCTTACTCCAAGAGCATATTAAACCCTTAAGAGACTAAATTGGAAAATTAATTTGCTTGCAAGCTCCAAGGCCAGCACTGGCCCTTAAAAGTTCACCAATTCATCCCAAGAGGAGGGGTTTAGAGAAAGAGGAACATTACATTGCATGGCCACCATGAAGTTACTTTGAGGAAGGTTTCAAGGCTTCAATCTACAATTTTAGTCTTCAGCTCACTGATAAGCAACCTCTGTCATTCTGACCGTAAGATAAGCTCCCATTTGGTGTCAGAAACATCCTTTTTTCCTTCTTTGTGGTCCCTACTCAAGTAAACAGAGAAGACATAAAGTTGCCCCAGTGAACAAGAAAAGGGATTTGATCCCAAGACTCCTAGAGCTACTAAAAACTTTAAAAGATCATCCGGTCTAGTTTCTGCCTTTAGACAGATGAACATCTTAAGGCCACAGGGGACAGATGGTTGTCTTATTCTCAAATACGTCAACGGACAAAGACCGCACAAACTTTCTGAACAGTCCATCCCAATATTTCCAGAGCTCAGCCCATTCCTAGTGATACAACTCCTATGACCAAGCCCAAAGGACCAGCAGCTCTGGGAGAAAGTGGCAGATTCCAATATCCTAACATGGCAGGACACTAAACCAAGGCGATCTCACCTTATCTCTAGGGAAAAGGGCAGAAAGGAAATTGCAAAAATTATGTTTGTTGGAAAGTATAAACAATATTCCTTCGTGTCAACTTAATAAAAAATGAGGCCCTCTGGGGGCCTTGGGTGAACTCCAGGCTGCTGACATCCCACATGAAGCGGCTCCCAGTCCTGTTGGCTCCTACGGGCAACAGGGGTTGTCGATGACTAGCATGACATCAATGCCATAGGCCTCCAGCAGGTCCAGGAGAAAGCTCCGGTCTCCTTGGGGGTCTAGGCCCATGCCCCGGGCATGCTCTGCTGTCAGAGTTTTGTCTTGACTGGCAGACACCTCCAACAAAGTCTGAAATATCCGGTTGTTTTGTTCTAGGAAAAATCTGCATTTAGAAGACAAGACACAGGAAAGGAAGGGGGGAAAAAAACTCACTAGATAATCCACATATGGGGAACCAAAACTATACTGTTGTTTAATGTACTTTTCAGTGGATTCGCAGGTGTCTTAAAACAAGAAAAGAGTAAAAGTTAAACAATTATTCAAGTGCTACTAAAGTTAGCAAAGAAACCATTTGGCATTAATTGTGGTGGGATTAGGGAAATCTCTAAACAAGATGGCCTGTCAAAATCCATTTTCCTGTTGAGGGAAGTGACCGGGGTTTAAACACAGCCTGAGAAGAGGCCCCCACACACTGCTTTTCTCTTTCTGCTTAGTCACAGGAGGAAGCAAAAATTCAACACCACTAACAGAATGAACATGAGCCAACATTACCCTTGGGTGTTTGCTCTCCCTTGATGACTCTTTGGGAGATGTGAGATGCACAGATCAGGATTTAAAAGTCACTGCTTTAGAGTGCTTTATGAACAAACAAGCCCCCGTTCAGGACAGCGCTCACTGTCTAGTTAGACTAGACAGTCCAGCCCCATACAGCTCTCAGGTCTGCAAAGTGCCCGGTACCTGAAGTGGCCCTGGGTGCTCAGGAATTTCAGACACAGTGGTACATGTCATACTGGATGAGACTGTGGCTGTGCTCAAGCCTCAGATACTTTCCACCTAAACAGGATGTAGGTTTTAGGAAGTCCACTATTAGAATCAAGATGCTGCACCTTTGTAGAAATGCCTACATTAAGTTTTCAACATCAAACCACAACCTCAGCCCTGGAAGACCAAAGAGGAAGCTGGGAGAATTCAGTTCACAGCACAGAAGGCTACTGCACCCAGCTGTCTAGGAATGAAGTCAGCGCTGTGAGGTGGAAAGGCCCTGGTTCCCACCCCTACGGGGCAAAGAGATTTCCTTTGATTCAAGAATTAAAATTTCAGATTATCCCATAATACTCAGTGCAAGGAACTACTCTATTCAAAGGAGGCAATGGAAAGGAGAAGTCCCTGAATCCTGAGGGACAGACAGCTTCTATGCAGTGGACATCCTTGATGTAAAAGCCCAACAAGAAAAGAAACACTAAGACTCCTGTTTTCTCTTAAGGGCCCTGCTTCTTTCCGTAAGTCCTCTGGGTTCCCCCAATGGCATTTCAGGGCTCAGGTTTGCCTCTGTAAGGAGCCTGGCTCTAAGTGCCCTTGGCAGCAATAAAGGGCATCCCTGGTCTGCAGTGAGTGACATGGGAGGGATGCAGGTCACTCGGTGCTGAAGGGATCCTCAGGGAGACCCCACGCCCATGGCCCCAGGACTCACAGCACGAAGAGGTCCTCTTCACAAGGGTTGTAGTCTTCTTCTACCTCCTGGGAGTACAACAGCATCTGCCTGTTGGGAAGGAGAGAACCATGAGACTCTGGTGCAGGTACCAGGACCCCAGTCACAGGTGAGGCCTCAGCCAGGCATCTTCAATGGGCCACCACCTCCCAGGAAGCAGCACCAGCCAGGAAAGGGATCAACAGGGTTTGGACTCAAAATTCCTGGGGTCCAGGGCCAGTTCTGCCCCTGGTAATCTTAGGCAAGTAACAATCTTTCCTAGTTGTCTATCAGTGGGGGATGATGATAACATTTATTTCATAGGATCACCAGATTATTGAGAATGACATCAGATACATATAAGCAAGCTTCTAATACAGCGACCAACACAATGAAGGTGCTCAGTCAAGGTGCTCAGATTCCAAAGTCCATGAGAAGAAAGAAACCGGCACCGTGGATCTACTCCCCTCCTATCAGGGCAGCATACAGGGAGCCTGGCCTCTTCCACTGCAGGCCTTCCCTTCGTTTCCATCTCCATCCCAGGCAGCATGGAGACTGGCAGAAATGCGTCAGGGAAGGGACAGAAGACAGGCTTTGCAGAGACCCCATGCTGGAGCTGCCCTGAGGAGGGTGGAGCCCCTGGTTCTCCCCGTAGCTGCCGCTACCTCTGCTCATTGAGCCGGCGGTACTTCTCCCTGTCAGCGCTGTTGATCTTCAGCAGCGGCTGCAGGTGGTCGTGGTGTGTCTTCACGTTCTGGTTATCCACGTAGACGTCATACAGCTCCCGCTTCTCCTCAAATATCTTCTCTGTGGTGCCTGTGGAACCCGGGGTTAGAGAGGCGGGAACCCACCCCACCCCACTGGGAAGCAAGGCTCCCAGGAGCCCCGCGTCTGGCAGGAGCAGGGCTGGGACCTGAGGGCAAGATGAGGGGAGGGCCCCGTACTCACAGGCCACATAGGACACCTCTACCTCCAGGCTCTCGATGTCGGCCACGTTCACGTAGAAGAAAGGCTTGGACTCAGGAATGGTGCCCCCGATGCCAGGCAGTGAAACGTTGGCCAAGCAGCAGCAGCAGTACACTGTGGGGACAGAGGAGGTGAGCGGGGAGGGTCTGCCCCTCCACCCCCTTCCTCCCTTGGAGCCTGCAGCTCAACACCTCTGCTCTAGGCTATCTGGCGCCTCGGGAGCCAGGTGGTCCTGGCATTCTGAGGAGACTGGAGGTAGCAAGCCTCTTTAGGTCCCACAGGAGAAACTGATCCCTCAAGGTGACGTCAGCAACATGCTTCCCAAACCCAATCAACATTTCTCAGTCTCTCTCTAGCTGGTCTTGCTTAGAATTTGACCTTGTCAGAACTCCGGCCTCTATAACCCTTGTGTCTTCTGGTTCCCCCTTCTGCCTGTCCCTCCCCAGTCCTTTCTGTCCTTCCACCTTTCTGGTCCACCTCCTGTGTCTGGAACAGCCCTCCACACTTGTACTTTCCCCAGGTAATGCTGTCCATCTCAGATATGAGTGCAGAAATAATCTATCTCCCTCAAATCTTTATCTCCAGCTCAAACGCCCACAGGTCCTGACCCAGCTATGCAGGGTGGGCGGACACCCCTGCTGTGAAGGTCTCAAGGCAGCACACCCTCATCACATCCCACACTAACCTTTTCAAGCCAGCCCCCGGCTGCTCCTCAGTCCCCCATCTGGTGGCCCCACCACCCTTGTTATCCTAGGCTCTTCCGTTGCAGCCTCACACACATCAGAACCTGTACAATCCAATCTGACAAGTTTTCTCCAGTTTCTCTAAAATACATCTAGAATGCATCTTCTCTGCTTTAATCCAGACCCTAATCTTTGGCCACGCCATGATGTGTCATCCAACCCATCTTCTACATTGTCACCAGCGTTCACAGCCAATCAGGTCACTCCTGGGCTTAAAACCCCATCCCCTTGATGTGGCCCAAACTCTTCCAGACTTGATCAGTGACAGAAAGACTCAAGCAGTTTCTGCTGCAGGGATTTAAGCAGCACCCATGACTCTGGCTTCTGGTTACCTCTATAGCACACCACGCCCACAGGTGGGGGAGAAAATATCAAAATGCGCTTTCGAAGTAAGGCAAATTTCCAGAGGATGAGGATCTGTTCTCCAAAGAACTTTATAAACTGAGACATGCAGCCAGCTGGGTGTGTGATCTGAAAAAATTGAGGGGAATAGGGAGGAGAAAGAGTGAGGAACAGCTTGTTAGAAATAGAGCTAAAGGTATCTAATCCTCACCTCCGAAATTCTGAAGTCCATCCAAACAGATACATTAAAGGATGCTTATTTCCACACAAAATGATGTTTTTCACTTTAAAAGTCTTACCTTTAAACTGGATTTCTATAATACAACAGCTCCCTGATACACTGATGTTTGAGTTTAGAGATCATTCTTTTACTCAGGAGAACAATGCAAAGAAAACAAAGCTAAATTTAAATTTTAAAAAATCAGAATAAAAGCATCTCTGAAGACACATTCTGCTTCAATAAGAAAACTCAACTTGAAAACATTACTAAGCACTGTAAGTAATAACACAATGAGCAAACAGTCCCCAGTCAGATCCCAAATCTACAGGACTACTACTGTGCAAAGTGAGGTGTCTGCAGAAGTCACAGGTAGGAAGGAGCCCCTGGCATAATCCCTGCTACACTTCACCTCTGACCACCCTTCCTTCTTTTTTTCAGATGGAGTCTCACTCACTCTGTCACCCAGGTTGGAGTGCTGTGGCGTGATCTTGGCTCACTGCAACCTCCACCCTCCTGGGTTCGATTTTCCTACCTCAGCCTCTCAAGTAGCTGGGATTACAGGCATGCACCGCCAAGCCCAGCTAATTTTTGTATTTTTAGTACAAACAGGGTTTCACCACATTGGCCAAGCTGGCTTTGAACTCCTGACCTCAAGTGATTCACCCACCTTGGCCTCCCAAAGTGCTGAGATTACAGACATGAGCCACCACGACTGGCCCCATTCTTCCTTCTGACACTAACTGGCAACCCCTGAATTGCCTTCTGGGAACCCTGAGCCAAGGAGTATCATAGGGGTTAAGAGCATAAGCTGGGATCCCAGGAAGAGCTGAATTCCAATCCTGGCCCTGCCATTTACTAACAGGGAGATCTGGAGAAAGTTAGCTAATGTTTTCAGTTCACTATCCTTAACTGTGAACTACGGAATCATCACTTACCTTATAGGGCTATAAGGACTGCCTGAGACAAAACATGAAATAGCACATAAAAACAGCCAAGGCTATTTTTAGAACAGAAAGGCTTCAAACCCCAGGCCTCACAAACCCCGTAAGCTTTGTGAAAGGTCACTTCCATGCCAAAGTGCCAGAAGTAAGAGCTCATCACCCATTAGGGAGGCAGGCAGGAGCACTTCTGAGAGAGGCACTGACTCCCAGGCTGCCTGCTAGGGTTTAACAACTACCAGCCTTCGGGGGCACCTACACCCGAGCCTCAGGGCAGCCTCTGCACTCTGCCTGTCCAGGTCAGGGCTGTCCTGGGCCCTCCGAAGCTGCATGTGCAGTACCCAGAGAGGATATCCCTTTCCAAGGTATCACTCCTGCACTGATACCATTTCCCTACCCCATGCCAGGATAAAGGCAACCTTGCGCTGAGCATGCCATTTGCCACCCATGCCTACTCCTCTGCCACCACATCCCAAATCATGAGGAGGAGAGGCACCAAGTGACCAAGGCTGGTTGCATCCCTCCAATCACTGTCTCTCATCAAAGTCTTAACAGCAATCAGATAGGAAAGGGCGCCAAAGCATGCCCCGGTTCCTCCCGGCTTTCCCACTGGTTATCTTCAAGCGTCCAACTTGTTCTTCCACCACATGGAGGCCAGGCAGGGCTCGCCCAGCGTATATTTTATAGGTTAGTGGGAGAAACAGGTAAACGAGCATTTAAAATACAGCCTGATGGGAGCCGTGATGGGAGAAGAATGGGGGTTGGTGGAGCAAACCAGAGGTGCCTCATCCCACTCTAGGACAGACAGAAAAGACTTCCTGGGGGAAGTGATGTTGAAGCTTTGACATAAAGATGAATCTGAGGCTGGGCGCTGTGGCTCACGCCTGTAATCCCAGCACTTTGGGAGGCCGAGGTGGGCAGATCACAAGGTCAGGAGTTCAAGACCAGCCTGGTCAACATGGTGAAACCCCATCTCTACTAAAAATACAAAAAATTAGCTGGGTGTGGTGTCGTGTGCCTGTAATCCCAGCTACTTGGGAGGCTGAGGCAGAAGAATCACTAGAACCTGGGAGGCAGAGGTTGCAGCCAGTTGAGATCATGCCACTGCACTCCAGCCTGGGCGACAATGCAAGACTCCGTCTCAAAACAAAACAAACTAAAAAAACAGATGAATCTGGGGGAAGGTGTTCACATACAAAGGCGTGCAGGTAAGAGGGAACATGGCCCTTCTTGGGACCTGCAAGTAGTTCAGGTCCTGTGCCCAGGCCCATGCCAGGAAGCACTGCCCATAGGACCACCTCTTCTCTTCTAAAAGAGTCAGCTCTAGAGACTTCTCACCCCTCCTCACTTTACCAGGCTCACTGCACCTGCAACAGAAATTTCTCCTGCTTTCATTGACATCTCTTTCCCTTTTTCCAGCCTTGTTTCTCTGTGGCCTTTACAGAGATCTCTCTTTCCTTGATGTCTCCAGTGTGTACCTTCATGTTTTCCCTCCAACCTTTCAAGTCCATACTCCATCCTCTTTTCACTCCAATTTCTTTTTACTCCCTAACCTCTGTCAGCTCATAGCAGGCTCTGATAATACCCATGCCTGCCACTAGGGAAGCCCTCCACTCCTGGGGCCCAACCCTCCTCCCCTATATCCCTCTCCCACTCCCCCATTTTCCTAAGGGGAGCATTTAGCAGCCACATCTGGATCTCTCAGAGAGGTCTTCCTGTTCCCTCTGCTTCCTTTCCAGTTTATTTTCTTTCCCTCTGAAACAGTCCTATATCTGACTCCTACATTAAAAGTCTACTTCTTTAAAGTTTTTTTTTTTTTTTTTTGAGAGGGAGTCTTGCCCTGTGGCCCAGGCTGGAGTGCAGTGGCGCTATCTCGGCCCACTGCAACCTCCGCCTCCCGGGTTCAAGCAATTATCCTGCCTCATCCTCCCAAGTAGCTGGAATTACAGGCGTGCGCCACCATGCCTAGCTAATTTTTGCATTTTTAGTAGAGACGGGGTTTCACCATGTTGGCTAGGCTGGTTTCGAATTCCTGATCTCATGATCCACCCACCTTGGCCTCCCAAAGTGCTGGGATTACAGGCATGAGCCGCTGTGCCCAGACTAAAGTTTTTCTTTATACGTGTGTTCATGTTGTAAAAATTCATTGAATTATATACATATGATTTTTGAACTTACTTCTTTAAAGTTTTATATTTCAACAAAAAGCTTAATGATATATATACGTTATTTTCCATACATGACAAATAATCATATATACTATTTTTGAACTTATTCCTATTAAATGTTATATTTCAATAAAAACTGAAAGATATATTACATTATTTTCCATCCATGACAAGTATTATATCATACATGCTATTTTTTTTTTTTTTTTTTTTTTTGAGACAGAGTCTCGCTCTGTTGCCCAGGCTGGAATGCAGTGGCACGATCTCGGCTCACTGCAAGCTCTGCCTCCTGGGTTCATGCCATTCTCCTGCCTCAGCCTCCCGAGTAGCTGGGACTACAGGCGCCCACCACCATGCCCGGGTAATTTTTTCTTTTTTAGTAGAGACGGGGTTTCACTGTGTTAGCCAGGATGGTCTCGATCTCCTGACCTCGTGATCCGCCCACCTCGGCCTCCCAAAGTGCTGGGACATACATACTATTTTTAAGTGTCGTCATTTGTTTTTTCCTGGTCCTGCCTTTTTTATACTTGTAAGCCTTGCCCTACCCCATCCCATACTTTACCTCATCCCAGGGAATACATATCTTAAGCTTGTATATACCCATCAATACTTTCCATGTTTATGTCTGGGTGTGTGTATGTGTCTATCTAGACAGAGACTGTGACTGTTTAACAACAGTGTAATCATATCACATGTACAGTCGGCCGGCCCTCTGTATCCCGATACCATATCCTTAGATTCAACCAACTGCGTGCAGATAAAAAATATTTGGAAAAATAAAGAATAACAATAATAAATGTATGTAAAAAACAACACAGTATAACAACTATGTGCATAGCATTTCCATTGTATGAAGTATTATAAGTAATCTAGAGATCCTGGCTAACACGGTGAAACCCCGTCTCTACTAAAATACAAAAAATTAGCCGGGCATGGTGGCGGGCGCCTGTAGTCCCAGCTACTCGGGAGGCTGAGGCAGGAGAATGGCGCGAACCCGGGAGGCGGAGCTTGCAGTGAGCTGAGATCGCGCCACTGCACTCCAGCCTGGGCGACAGAGTGAAGACTCCGCCTCAAAACAAAAAACAAAAAAAATTCAAGCACAGAAGATCCCTGATTTACCATGATTCAACTTACCAAGTTTTCAACTGTATGATGGGTTTATTAGGAGGTAGCCCCATGGTAAGTCAAGAAGCTCCTTAAGACTTTGATGGGATTATGGTTTCTCCTGAATGCGCATTGCTTCCACACCATCATAAAGTCGAAAAATCATACATTAAGTGGACCCATCGTAAGTCAGGGACTGTCGGCTGCGTTGCCAGCATTAAATGCACTTTTGACTTACAATGTTTTCAACTTACAATGGGCTTAGGGGGGTGTAAACCCACAGTAAGTTGAGGAGTATCTGTATATGGGAGGATGTGCGTAAGTTACACGCACAGACTACACCCTACTATATGGGGACTTCAACATCTGCAGATTTGGGTATCTGAGGCAGGTCCCCTAGAACCAAGGCCCTGCAGATACCAAGGGATGATGCGTTTTCTGCACCTTGCTATTCTCACACAAATGAGATCTGGTGGTCCTTCCATGTCATCTTATGCTCTAATTCACTATTCGCCACGGCTTTCAATACATAGGCCTTCTAGTTTTCTACCACTGTGAACAGCGTTGAATTAAATATTGTTACACATACATCATTCTGGTAGATAGATCCTGAGGAGTAAAGTTGCTGAAACAAAAGCCACGTATGTTTTATTTATTTATTTGTTTATTTATTTAGAGAAGTCTCACTCTGGCGTCCAGGCTGGAGTGCAGTGGTGCGATGTTGGCTCACGGCAACTTCTGCCTCCCAGGTTCAAACAATTCTCCTGCCTCAGCCTCCCGAGTATGTGGGATTACAGGCGCCCATCACCAAGCCTGGCTAATTTTTGTATTTTTAGTAGAGACAGGATTTCACCATGTTGGCCAGACTGGTCTCGAACTCTTGACCTCAAGTGAGCCGCCCGCCTTGGCCTCCGTAAGTGCTGGGATTACAGGCGTGAGCCACCATACCTGGCCATGTTTTTTATTTTGATGTGCTGACATACTGTTTTGTAAAAAGACGACACTCCACATTTGTATCTGCAACCATGACAGTACCCTCTTCCCTGCATCTCCTAGGGTCTAACAGTTATGTTAATGAGCTGTCCTCAAAAGCATGGGCAGTTTTCTTTTTTCTCCCCTAGTCCCTCATCTCTGGACTCTTATGGGGAGGAATATGAGTACATTTAGGTCACATGCAGGTCACCTCCCTGTAGATTTGGAGATAATTCCAACAGAAATTTGACTCTGAAGGAAAAAATGGGTCTCAGTTATGAGCAGACAGAAAGAGAACAGGACTCAGGTCAGTGCGAGCCCAGAGTACCTCCAATGGCCCTCTGACCATTTCTTAATGATTGTCTCTCAGCCTATACCATGGGCTTGGGAAACCTGTAAAGGACAATTCCTAAACTCACACGCCAATTGGCTTCCTGTTAGAGTTCTTCAATGGAGAGCAAGGATTGTGGATTGAAAGGCAGAAGGAAATCTCTTCAGCTTCTTGCTCCAGCTAGTATTTCTCCAGCAGCAGAAGACACCCACGACTCCAGTCTCCAGCTTTCCTCAGCATGCACAGCACAGGTGCAGCCACACCTCCTGAGAGGTCCCAGCAGAGATGCGCTCCCTCAGTGATCTGAGTACTGGCTGTGTAGGGACCCCTCCTGCAGGCTCCCATGGTTTTGATCATTCTGCTTCTCTTGCTTTGTTACCCCAGCCCTAGGGGAGGGTAGAAGGCAGCCTCTAAGATAGTCCCCAGTGATACCCACCTCTTGGTATTTACAGCCTTATGCGATCCCCTCCGTCCTCTTAATTTGCTTCTAAGAAAATATGGTGACATTGCAGGGCTGTCACTTCCATGATTAGGTTACAAAGGGTTCTGACTTCCATCCTGCTAGTACACTGTCTTACTGGCTTAGATAAAGCAACCTCACATAGTGGAGAGACCCACATGGCTAAGAACTGAGGGGAGCCCCCAACTAACAGCTAGCAAGGTACTGAGGCCTTCAGTTCAAAACAGTCCTCAAGAAATTCAATCCTGCCAACACCCACATGATCTTAGAGGTGGACACCTCCCCAGTCAAACTTTCAGATGATCCCCTAACCCTGGCTGATACCATCTCATGAGAGACCATGACATAGAGAATCTGGTTAAGCCATGCTGGGATTCCTGACTTACAGAAGCTGTGAAATAATAAATATGTACTGTTTTAAAACATTAATTTGGGGATAATTTGCTCCACAGCAATAGATGACTAATATAGGGCGTTAGTCAGGCTATTGTCTATGATTACTAATATATTGGTTACCTATTCCTTTTCTACTCCTTCAGCCTTCCAACTCCTATATTACTGATCTCCTGTATTAAATTAGTTTGAAATACCTAGCATGGTCTCTTTTCCCGGTAAGTCCCTAACTGGTACTTATTAGGATTCAAGTTCCAAGGTCTACTATTTAAGGCTCTCTACAATCTAATTTCAGAACCTAGTTCTCCAATCATTTCCCTCATGCCGGCTGACTTAATCCCAGCCAAACTAGTTTGCTCATGTCCCATGAACTTGTCTTGCATTTTTCCGTGTCCACATCTCTGCAAAGACAATAAAGTGAGGCAGGACACATGCACTGGCTGTGGCTCTAGACCTCTGTTTAAACCTTGGCTCTAACTCCTATTAGCTGTAAGACCTAAAGCAGTCACTAGCCCTTTATAAGCTCCGGTTGCTTTCGCTGGAAAACAAGGATTAAAAAAACATTTACTTTTATTGTAGAGAATGCTGCCACAGGTATAGATAAATAGCTGGCACAATGCATAACTCCCAGAAGGTGCTAAGAGAGTGACAGACCATGGTTCTCACTGCTGCTCACACCTTTCCTGGTTCTGGAATCAGCAGTCCTCACTCTCCACCTAGCCAAATACTCAGGGACCGCATCCTCTCCTAAGACATCTTTCCCAGAGTTCTCCCTTGGACTCTTGGCATAATTTCTCTCCCAGGGGAGCCCTAGGTTTCCATGGAAACCTCCTGTGGCCAACCACAGGGGACAGAGAAGAAAGAGAAAGAGGAGATTCATGTTCTTAGTCATATTTGCACCCTTCCAACACCTAACGCTTCGCTGGGTGTTTTGCTAACTGTAAACAGGCATATTCTAGTACCAAAGCCAAAGTACTTCAGAAACAAATACAAAATGAAGTAACATCAAAAGCATATTCACTAAGAAATATCATACTTATTCATCGAACTCTTCATCTTTAGTTCAAATGTCTGGTGTTAAAATATCAGAAGCAATCAACAGAATTAAATCCATCTTTTCACGACTGGCCTATCACGCCTTTATACTATGATTACAGAAGTGTCTAGAAAGCATATTGTTTAAGATAACTTGCTTTATGTTTTAAACAAACCAAATGCTTATGTTGCAACTCTACTCTATCAAAAGTAGATATTTTGTATGATCCAAAGACATAAATTTTTTATTCATTAAAAATTAATCAACAGCTACTATTCCCAGATACAGATCCAGTATCGCGTAAGAAAAGCAGGGCTAACCTCACCTTCATCTCAGGGTACATGTATCGGTGGATGGAAGGCAGCCAGTAGACAGGGGGCAGGCTGCTGCCTCTGCCGGGACCAGCATGGAGCACCCCCTTTTTGTCCTCATAGAAGGCGGCCAGATGAGAGTAATGTCCTGGCATCTCCAGCTGGTGCCTGCAGAAAAACACACACATGCATACATGCATACATGCATGCATGCATACACACACACACACACACACACACACACACACACACACACACAGTGAGAACAGCCCTGGTCACAGCTCTGCTACCACTCCTACCCCCCACCCACCTCAAGGGCTGTAACACTCAGGGGCAAAGGCCCTGACATACTCCAAAGATCCCCATTTGGAGGCTGCTTAGGTCACCTCCTTTGATGCTACAGAAGATCCTTAGGAAAAGTTCAAACATGGGCCTGAAACTCCCTGACAGCACCATGGAACACGTTCTTTTTCTCATGGGAAACAGACAGAATTAACAGACTATGACTAATGTCTATTGTTCTTGAGCAAGGTACGCCGCAGACTGGGTGCCACTTCCCAGAGAATGGCCGCTTCCTGTGAGAAGGGCCAGCTTGGAAGCCTAAAATTCCCTGCTTAAAGCCGCTCTTTGTTTAGAGAACTCACGCTTGCCTGCTTGCTTTGTGGTTATGGAAGAATACGGAGAAGCTTACCTCCAATGTCTCAAATAAGGGAAAACAATTATTATTGGATATCACCAGGGCTCATAATTTCTGCATTAAGTATAATAAGAAAGAAATAAAAAGCATCAGAATCTCTTCTCTGCCCGCCCCACTGGCTCGGGTCGCAGAGCCTCGCTGTGGCTGGCCCTGCTGGCTGACCCCAGACCCCAGAAGGCAGCACCCTGGGCCATTTAGACAGTGGAGAATCCTGCCCCCCAGTGGAGCTCAGGAGCACTGTGAGGACTGTTTGTCACTATGTTTCATGGGGGTGTTATAGGTTGAATTTTGTCCCCACAAAAAAGATGGGGCTCCAGCACCTCGCTCAGAATGGGAACTTATTTGGATAGCATCTTTACGTAGGTAATCGAGTTAAAATGAAGTCACTGGAGCCGGCCCTGGTCCAGTATGAATGCTGTCCTTATAGAAAGGGGACTTTTGGACACAGAGACACACGCATACAGCAAACAGCAGGTGAACATGAAGACAAGAGACTGGGATGATGCATCTACAAGCCAAGGAACCCCAAAGATTGCCAGCGTCCACCAGCAGCTAGGGGAGAGACCTGGAACGGATTCTCCCTCATAGCCCCAAAGGGAACTCACACTGCTGAGACCTTGACTTTGGACTTCCAGCCTCTAGAACTGTGAGACACTATGTTTCTGCTGTTGTAAGCCACCCAGTTTTTGGCACTTTGTTATGCAGGCCCGGAAAAGCCCTAATTGAGGGAGGAATAAAAGGCACCAAAACCCTCTTAGCCCATCGTTATTTTCTCAGTGTCCTACAATTTCCATCAATCAATGAACAAAAAGCAAAATACGGCTTCACTGAGCAAGGGAAACATCCCTAATTATGGTTGGCCCTGGAACAGCAGTGATTAAAAATAGGCATTCCCCGCTGCCACACTGCCTCTGCAAATTGCCACAGTGGCTTACCCCAAACTATGACACAAACTGTTCAGAGCCAAGATTTCATCAACCAACTATAGCCTTCCATTCTCCAACCATCTCCACTCCAGACTGACTTACAGCTCTTATGTCAAAGTGATGACAACAGACCTTCAGACAAATTTACATTTTAAAAAGGAAAAAAAAAATCATCACTATATTCATATAATGATTACTAATGTAAGATGGATGATAGCTCCAATTTCAGGGCTCCTATACATTTTAAGTTTTGACAAGGAGGCAGTCCTCCTGTAACAACTAGTTGGGAGGAGGGTGCTTATAATCATTTAGTTCACTTTTACAAATGTTCATGAGCTAGACAGGAAACCCATGGTTCTAAGCTGTGTCTGACTATTCTGAGAAGATGGCAATTTCAGACACTTTTTAGGGAAGTTGGTCAAACTGATCAAAGTTTGATTCACAGAAAAATCACACAAAGGCAATTATGTTCAAAGGTGTTTTTATTAGGATGGAATTTCCCTAAAAAGAACACTGAGAATATTTTATTATATTTTAATACTATATTTTCTGTGTTAAAGGGGGCTGTGTCAGGGGTAATTTATATTTTTTCATTCAAAGGTGTTTCATTAGGATCAAATTTCCCTAAAAATACTGAGAATCATTTCATTATATTTTTAATACTACTGTATTTTCTGTGTTAAAGGGGGCTGTGTCAAGGTAATATTTTTTCATTTTCTTTTTTTTTTTTTTTTTTTGAGACGGAGTCTAGTTCTGTGGCCCAGGCTGGAGTGCAGTGGCGCGATCTCGGCTCACTGCAAGCTCCACCTCCCGGGTTCACGCCATTCTCCTGCCTCAGCCTCCCGAGTAGCTGGGACTACAGGCGCCCACCACCTCGCCCGGCTAATTTTTTGTATTTTTAGTAGAGACGGGATTTCACCATGTTAGCCAGGCTGGTCTCCAACTCTTGACCTCAAGTGATCCGCCCGCCTCGGCCTCCCAAAGTGCTGGGATTACAGGCGTGAGCCACCGCGCCCAGCATATTTTTTCATTTTCTGTGTTTATTGTTTGCTGATTTGCTGCTCAATTGCCTTTTCTGTTTGACTACATTAAACTGTATACTTGAATCACGATTCTAAAGAAAAGTTCGGTACAAAAGTTAGAGTCCTTTAGACAAAGAACTAATATGAAGACTCTGTCCTTTGACTGCCTCAGATATTACTGACTGATGGGACAGAGCAAGGCAATAATATGGAATCTGAACATAGACAAAAACAAAAATTGGCAGTTCCTGGATGAATGTTAAGCAACTGTTGTATGAAAGCCTCAAAATTTAAACACACTACAGATTTTGCAACAAACAAGATTGTCAAACCACAATATCAAGAAAGACCGAAAAATACTGAAACAAGGCTCAGAGTGCTGGATAAGTTAGTCTTCAAAGATGATGTCAAAGGAGCCCTTCCTGGTGAACTTACCTACAAGAATGCAGAAATTGAGAAACCACCACACTGAAATGTATGCCAAACCACCTATGGAAACCATCCAAGAGCCGTGACACTGTAAAAACTAGAGAACAACTGGCTCAATATATATTATTAATCTGAAGCCATAGGCTGCTGGGCCAGAGACACTGGGATTCTCCTTAAGCCCACAGCTCCTTCACTGATAAAACACAGCCATATGTGGCCATGCAGATGCCCAATGCGACTGACCCTGCCTGTCCCTACCACACGGGCAATAATTCATCCACAATCAGAATCAGAGATGCCTCGTGCAACAATTACACTTCATCACTCTGGTGTGTTAATTATTGGTCTGAACAGGCCGGGCGTGGTGGCTCATGCCTATAATCCCAGCACTTTGGGACGCTAAGGCAGGCAGATCACCTCAGGTTGGGAGTTTAAGACCAGCCTGGCCAACATGGTGAAACCTGTCTCTACTAAAAATCCCAGCTACTAGGGAGTTGAGGCACAAGAATTGCTTGAACCCAGGAGGTGAAGGTTGCAGTGAACCAAGATCACACCATTGCATCCAGCCTGGGTGACAGAGCAAGACTGTCTCAAAAAAAAAATATATATATATATATATATGTGTGTGTGTGTGTGTGTGTGTATTTACATATGTGTGTATATGTGTGTGTGTATATATATATGTATATATCTGTCTGAACAAATCGCCTCCTAGTTCCTGGCTTTGAAAATGCAGAAAAATAAGCACCCCCATTTATTACTGCTGGTGCAGGGGTACAATGGCACCACCTTCTGAAGCGTAACTTACAGCTTGTATTAAATTGTACATTGTATATATCCTCTGATTCAATGATTCCCCTTCTCGGATTGTGGCCTGAAGAACTATTTCTAGATGTGAACAGTCATTTACTCATAAGGATGCTGATGTGCACGGTGGTGAAAAAAATAAGGAACACCCTAAAACCCCAATAACAGTGAAACAGTTAAATAAATTGTGATGTATCTCTATATTGAAATGCTGTGAAACCACAATAATATTGAGGACTATAATTCATGATACACCAGAAAGGTTAATATACCAAGTTACAAAATTTACATACTAAATGACCTCAATAATCCTTTTTCTTTTTTCTTTCCCTTTTGGAGACGGAGTCTCGCTCTGTTGCCCAGGCTGGAGTGCAGTGGCGCGATCTCAGCTCACTGCAACCTCCACCTCCAGATGTATTTACCATCTAGCTTCAATAATATTTGATCCATATGGTTATATCTATACCCTATACCTTACCATCACCACTTTTTTCCTAGAATGTCTTAAAGAAAACCCCACCTCATAACATTTCGTTGATAAATGCTTTGTAAGGCATCTCTAACTGATAAAATCTGTTTAAATAACACATAATCGCCATGCCATTATCTCACCTAATAATAATGCCTTAATATAAATATCCAGTCCACATTCAAAATATAGCCACTGTCCCCCAAACGCTATTTCAGAGTTGGTTTGAATCGAGATCTGAGCAAGGTAAAATGTGGTTATGAGTCATGGGTCCGTTTCTTCAATAACAGTCCCTCTTGCCTTTTCTAATTTAATTTTTAAAATTATGAAATAGTTCTCCAATATCTTCTGATTCATAAGAAATAATCGTTAAGAAGACTCTTTAGAGATACTGAGGGCAAAAATTGTAGATGAAATACAAGTAAATAGGTTTGGAACACTGGAAGTCAGAAGAAATACAAAACACAGATTAAGTGCTGCAGAAATGAAGACTAGTGAATTCATGTAAAAGCTGCTGCTGTATTCAAGTATTATCCTTCAACTCGTCATTTACATCAGGTATACACTCCCCATCAATCCTCTCCACCCCTCCGTCCATGATAAGGCCCCGTGTATGTGATGTTCCCCTTCCCAAGTCCAAAAGTGATCTCATTGTTCAGTTCCCACCTACTGGTGAGAAACATGCGGTGTTTGGTTTATCTGTTCTTTGGTGATAGTTTTGCTTGAGAATGATGGTGTTTCCTAAGCTGGCATCATGTCCCCTACAGAGGACACGAAACTCCATCCTTTGTTTATGCTGCAATGTATTTCCATGGTGT